GGAGGAAGGAAGGAAGGAAGGAGGGAGGAAAGAAGGAGGGAGGGAGGAGGGAGGGAGGGAGGCAGGGAGGGAGGAAGGAAGGAAGGAGGGAGGGAGGGAGGGAGGAAGGAAGGAGGAAGGAAGGAAGGAAGGAAGGAGGAAGGAAGGAAGGAAGGAAGGAAGGAAGGAAGGAAGGAAGAAAGGAAGGAAGGAAGGAGTTCTGTCGCTCCTGCTCATGTCTGCTGAGATATGAGAAGAAGATGGGCGCTGCCCAGGTGGACAGAAACATGTGCAAAGGGGCTGGTGCCCGGGTTTGGGGGTTGGGGTGCCCACAGCCGGAAACTGGGTGAAAACAGAAGGAAGCAGAGAAAGCTATATAGACACTGAGGGAGAATAAAGAGGCTGTGAGGAGGGAGAGCCCTGTGGAAGGGGACTTTGTTGATCCCAAGCTTCTCTCTCTGGATGACTCACTTGGCCCTGTCATGGAACTCAGCAGCCACTCAGTGGAGGGCCCCTCGAGAATGGGCCCCAGGAGATGGCTACCACTGACCCCGACCCACTCGTGGACGCCTGGGTCCCCAGAGTGTGGGGGTGGAGGTCAGGCTCCACACAGATTCCAAGACCTCAGACCCAGCAGGGCTGGGCCCGGGGGGGTTAATGTCGTGCGAGCCTGGCCTGTCCCCGACTTGGGGAGCACAAAGGCAGCTTTCTCTCTCTGGGTGTATGTGTGTGTTGGGGGGGCAGCCAGACCTGCCAGCGTCCAATGGCCCCAGAACCGAGCACCCGTGGCCGGCAGACAATGGCACCCAGGCCCCTCTGGGGACACCAGGGCATGGGGTGGGCCACGGGGTCTTCGTGGAAAGTGCGGAAGGGTAATGGTGTGAAAGCATGGACAAGCTGGGTTCAGCGGAGCCTGCGTTCTTCTGGGAGCGCCACACCCAGGGTGACCCTCTGAGGGACTCCACACCCCCTGGCTGAGCCAGGAGCCTGGAATCCGGGGAGTCCCGAGTATTCCAGGAACGTGGGGGCCACAGGGAGGACTTTGTGTAAGGCTGCTGACTCGCCCCTTGCACGCCCACCTAAAGCCCATTGATGGACACTGGGAGACAAAGGACAGAGGCGGGATCTGGTTCAGGAGTTAAAGTTTTCAAGAGGGGAAAAGCTGGGCCTGGACCCCAGGTCTGAGGGAGGAGGCTGGGGCTCAGACCCTGGGTCTAAGGGAAGAGGCTGTCCTGAGCCCTGGTCTGAGGGAGGAGGCTGTCCTGGACCCCAGGTCTGAGGGAGGAGGCTGGGCCTGGACCCCAGGTC